TTATGTATTGCTTGTTTAAAATTTTTAGTTTTTGCATCCTTTTGAAGTGGGTTGCATCAGTACAGCGCGGAATATTGTACGACATTCATATAGCTGGTGCTAACTAGTTTTGGATTGTGGTGTAGTTGATTGATTGATGTTTAGCTTCTGCATCTAGATTTGTGAATTTAAATGAAGTTAGATAACGGGTGTTTGTGAGATATAGGGATAGTTACCTTTTCCCATTGTAGGTTTAAAGAAGGTCAAAGTCTCAGTTTATTTGTTTTTCACGCTAAATCTTGTGATTGTGTTTCACTTAACTTAAGCATTATCAGTTGGAGTACTAGGAAGAGACAACCAATGGATAAAGGGGCTAATCGACTTTACACTTTCTTGGCTTTTCTTTTTTGGATTTGTGGGGACTCAATATATCTGTGTTTGTTTTTCTGCCATTTACCTTTACCTGTTTATCTAGTCATTTATTGATGTGTACCTTCTACACATTGCAGATTGATGAAAATGTAAAGAGGGAAATCATCAACCATCGATCATTGAGGCACCCTAACATAGTCAGATTCAAAGAGGTAATATTCATCTCAAAACTGTCTCTCAATAATGGCTTAGGTGTTGAAATTTTAATGATTCTCACTTATAAGTTATAACTAACCATGGGATTTTTTTTGTTTCAGGTCATATTGACACCAACTCATTTGGCTATAGTGATGGAATACGCATCTGGAGGAGAACTGTTTGAGCGCATTTGCAATGCAGGCCGTTTCAGCGAGGATGAGGTATATATTTTAAAAGATTATTGTGGTTTTCACTTTGTCATGAATATATTCATAGGCTATTAGTTGTAAATTTCAGGCACGATTTTTCTTCCAACAACTCATATCTGGGGTCAGCTATTGTCACGCCATGGTACTTCACCATTCTCTGCCTTCAATGTGCTTTGCGGATCTACAATTAGTTATAAAAAAAGTGAATTGACGATATATTGAGTATTGTGAAAATTTTAATGTTTGTTTGCAATTGGTTGTTTATGAAGCAAGTATGCCACAGAGACTTGAAACTGGAGAATACATTGTTGGATGGCAGCCCTGCGCCAAGGCTAAAGATTTGTGATTTTGGATATTCTAAGGTAGCAATTGTTTTTTCTCTAATATTCGCTTAGACAATTGTGCCACAAGGCGACCTCCCCCTGCTGAAAGAAAAAAGAAGCACAACTTCTTGAGTATTTCAATAAAACCAGTCCAAATAGGGTGAAAAGGATAGTCAGGATACATACTACACGCCAAACGAGCTTGGCATTTTGATATAGGTTTTTGTTTTCTCGATTGACTAGGTGGGATTGAGGTGTAGTTGTTGTTGTATATGTGCTGCTATACCTGAATCCCACAATGTATTTGCTACTTTTCTTCTCTCCCTGGCTTCTCCTCTATTCTTATGTCCTTCATGTTGTATTGACCATCATTTTGACTGTCGTTGTTTGCAGTCCTCAGTGTTGCATTCACAACCAAAGTCAACTGTTGGTACACCTGCATATATTGCTCCTGAAGTGTTATTGAAGAAAGAATATGATGGGAAGGTAAATCTTTTTCCATTTAATTTTTCAGAGCCGATGGTTGCTTGTGTTACAGTTTGGTCAAGTGGTGTGGTTGGCAGATGAAGTGCTGCTAAGCTCGTCTTCGTGAAAGCAATTATTGATTGTCTATTTTGCCTTGATGAAGATCATAAATAGGTTTTATGTCTGATTACTGCTACGGAAGGTTTGATAAATTAGGAATGACAATCCTCGTCCTCATCCCCTGCATTAATGTCTATAACCAGTGCTCCAGTTTCAAGGTTCCCTTTTCTCTACGTTGAGTTTGGAAGACATTAATTGTACGTCCCATCAGGAGAATGTGGCACAGCAATGGCCCCAAAGCTGGATTGTTTTAATGATTTTCTGTCCCTGCAACAGTTGTGAGACCTTACTGGCAGATTTTTTTGGTGGACAAACAACTTTGTGTGTAAATTTATAAGTACCTTGCAGTTTGAAAAAAACTACTTTGAAACCCCGATTTCATTTATGCTCTAATGCATAGTGTCAAAAAAGGAAATAGGCTTGAGTTGGTCTATGCAGAATGAAAATAGCTGTTAGACAAGGCTGTTGTGTTGAGAAAAAACCATGATAGAACATTTTGAGATGTGGATCGTATGTGTGTTACAATGCTGGGAAGTTGGTTTAGGAAACTTGGTGGTGTGTGAGGACTTTTCAACTTATGCAGGACTCTCTATATTAATTTATTAGAAAGGCTGCAAAACTCTATTCCATAACATTTGTCAGATGTCAATGCACCATCTACAATTGGAATAAACCCACTTCTACTTTAGTTCTAGATCATGTACGTTTAAACTAATGGACAATGTAACTATTTTTAAATTCATCCTATTTGATTTAAGGAAAAGAAAAGAAAAAAAAATTATGTAGCAGCTTAGAATTAGGTAGTCATTGCTGAATTAGATTGTCTGCAAATGTAAAAAGGACCCCATTTTTTGCAGTGAATGCATTAAGTTCCAGAAGTCCTTGTAGATATGAGCGGAAAATAGCTGGTTTGTTGTTAAAGTTCAGGTCAACCAATTATACCCTTATAACCTTATTTGATGTTCCTCTTTTACCGGAGATGTACGTGTCATTCTTTCAAGATATACTCTCACCGTGATGTACGAAGTAAATTGTTTCTTTTCATTTCTGAACAGTGCCTTTGCTATTTTGCTTGTATATGTAACTACTTAACAATGTTTTCCTAAACTTATTTTCCAAGCATTATCTGAAGTTACCAGAAAACTTTCCATCTTGTTATGGTTTTCATGGCTTAACCTTCCATTTGTGAATTATCTTATTCGTTTTCTTTGTGCCTGATGTTCTTTTAGATGTTTTCTTCATTATCTCGAAATATTGCAGATTGCAGATGTCTGGTCTTGTGGGGTGACTTTGTATGTCATGCTGGTAGGAGCATACCCTTTTGAAGACCCGGAAGAGCCTAAAAATTTTCGCAAGACAATACAGGTAACTTTTTATGCTTGTTACTGCAAAATTCTCTTTGTTTGTCTTATTGGCTCATAGCATTTTCTGTTTCACAGCGAATCTTGAACGTACAGTATTCAATTCCAGATTATGTACATATCTCTCCAGAATGTCGTCATCTAATCTCAAGGATTTTTGTTGCTGATCCTGCAAAGGTAATCTTATCCACAAATAACTGATTTTCTTCCCTCATTTCTGTCTCAAAACATAATTTGAGGTCTTTCTAGTTACTGTCGACTGTGATGTTGTAATACTTATGTGCATGATTCATCATTGTTTGGACTTTAATGCTCTCTCTATCAGGAAAATCTTGGACTCAGGTCCCTGTATATTAGTCATCTGTGGTTTCTTCATTTTGTTAAATTATCTTTCCTTTTGCTCAACCCCTTTATTTCGATTCTTATGCGAGGGTCCTTTCTTTTGCTTGTTAAGTTGCATGGTGAAGGAAATAGTATGCTTGTGCTGTTTTGATATTATCTTTTATCTTTGTTTCCAATTAGTATATATTTAGTTTTGATTTCGTGATGCTACCATTTTGCACTGCAACAGAGGATAACGATCCCCGAGATCAAGAACCATGAGTGGTTCTTGAGGAACCTTCCTGCAGATCTCATGGATGATAATATGACAAACAATCAGTTTGAGGAGCCAGAACAACGTATGCAGAGCATTGACGAAATCATGCAGATAATAACTGAGGCCACCATTCCTGCTGCTGGGACCAACAGCCTTAATCATTACCTTACTGGTAGCTTGGACATTGATGATGAGATGGAAGAAGACTTGGAGAGTGACCCTGACCTTGATATTGATAGCAGCGGAGAGATTGTCTATGCAATGTAAATGATTTGTGCATACTAAGTTTATGGATCAAAAGGAAGCCGAGTGCTGTAGGTCTTAATTATCTGGTCTACCTTTTGGTTTTCAATAGTTGTTTATGAAATGCAGTTCACAGCAATTCAGGCTTTCCTCTCTTTGTTACTTGTGTTGCTGTTGTTGTATTACTTGATTTCCCTTTTAAACTGTGTACTTGTAAGCTGCCATGTAACATTACTATTTTTCCAAAGTAGTATGTATGGTTGTGTTACTATTACTAAGGTAGTAGTTTTAGTGGTATAAACTGAATCTTGCATGTATCTGGCACCCTTCTGCTAAATGTTTTTGCAAAATATTTTGCATTATTCGGTAAGGTCCAGTGCTCATTTGCTGTTAAAGCTAACTCTTTTTCTTGTCCTGAAATTGAGCAGATTCTTAACTGCATACTGCATGGCAGGGTAAAGTAGGGGGATATGAGCATGATAAAAAAGTTTGCCTTTTTCATATAGGCAAAGGCTATATTAAAGTACTATTTAGAAGGTCCCCATTGGCATATGATGGAGAGAATGTGTAAATTGAATCAATTTTGGATAGAACCAAAATATAGGTATAAATTCTTTAAGGTGAAGAAAAAATAAAGCCAAAATTTATGAAAAGTAAAAGAAAAAGTAAAGAGGGATATATTAGTTTTATATTAATGCATTTCTATGATAATAATATGAAGTTTTATGTTAGTTAAAAGGACTTGAAAATGGTATTTACAACATTTTCAAATTGACGATAAAACGAGATGCTGTCTTTTATTAATCAATAAGTTATTATTTTTCCAATGTGTTAAGAACTTGAAAAATCAAAATAAAAACTTATACACCTGTAAGTAGATTTACTGCGCTTCTAATGTCAATATACAAGAAAATTAATATATTTTTTATTAATTAAAAATGTTAAATAATAAACAGAAGAAAATATAAAATTTTAAATCAATTGTAACCTCTTAACAAGCTGCGGACGATTCTTCAACTTTCTTGTGGCGAAAAAAAGGCCCTAACCGGAAAAGTAAAATTAATTGCAACTTGAGAAAATAATGCAACTTTCTTTGAAAGGACATTTAGTGCATTCCTAATGTCATCATACAAGAAAAGAATTTGTTTTAACAATAAGGTCAAATAATGAATACAAGATATTTTTAATGATTAATTGTAATTACAGCTTACAACTTGTTTAGATGGTTGTTACGCATCGTTTTATAATGTATCGTATCGTAGTCTATTGTATTGTACTGTATCATTTGATAAAAATAATGTTTGGACAGATTGTGTGTTTGTCATCGTTTCATGATATCATGCACCAGCAATATGAAGAATAAACTCGTAATATTATAAAGAAAAATTACGATACAGGGTAAAATTACTATATAAAAAGGTAGGGTAAATGATAAAATAAAATTATTTAATAATAATAAAGGGTGAGATTGAGAGAAAAAGACAAGGTAACGACGCGACCACACCAAATCGGTCGTTACATAAAGTGGCACATTTCGTCGTTATGTAACGACGGATTTAACGATACGATACAATAAAATTTAAGTAACATTCAAAACAAACATTTTATTTAAAGTAAGAATACAATACGATACAATATAATGGGTAAGAACCATCCAAACAAGCTGTTAATACAACGTGGAATGAAGCTCTGGGGCAATGTTTTATGATTTTAGAAAAGAAATGAAACTTGCACTAAAAGAAAGAAAAGAAAGAATAAGGAAATAACAACTTTGGTACTGTTTTCCTAAACAAAAACTACCTAAAATCCTTCTTCTAATTTAGTTAGAAAACTGATGATAGGCTATAATTGCATATTTTAGTCGCTTATTACACTCGAATTTACTGCACTTTAATTGAGTTTGCGCTTTAATCGCTAGTGTTTTGCACTAATTGTGTGTTTTATGCCTTGTAGGTGTGATTCCGAGCTATATAGATGTTATGGAATGAATTTAAGTGATTTGAAGCTTTGAAGTCCGAGTAAAAGCTCAAGGAATTAAGCCGGAATCGTGTTCGGAGGTCAAATTTGATAATTAAGTACGAACGAAGGCTTGAGGAGGCATATTGCGCACTGTCTAGTAAAATAGACATAACTTTTTGCTCAGAACTCCATTTGGGCTCCACAATATATGGTTAGAAAGCTAACTCAAAGGGCTACAACTTTCATATTTTACGTTTTTCCAAATTCCAGCTGAATAGGGTGAAAAATCGCGGTTTTTCCGCGACCGCGGCAGAAAATGGTCGCGGACAACTGAAGAATCAGAGGGCATGTTTGGCCGCGGTTCCACCGCGACCGCGGCAGGAAACAAAAATTTCAGGGACTAAAGTGCAAAACATGGAATTTTAAGTCCTAAACCCTATATTAAACAAAGGAGGCCGGCCAAGAACAAGAGGAGGACATATTTTGGACACAAATTAGACCTAAGGAGGCAGAGAGACACTACTTTAGGGTTAGACAACACCCTTGGAGGCAAGAACACATTGGGAGCAAGGCGGAGAATTCTTCTACGAGTTTTTTCCTTCCTCTTCCTATTTTTCATTGTTGGTTATGACTTTTAGTACTGTAGTTTTACATACTATTATGAATAGCTAATTTGTTATCTAGAGTTTTGATAAAACCTTTTGTAGGATAAATTCTTGTTATGTTTTTATATAATTGAGCCATAGCTTTTCTCTATTTGTTCAACTACGTTTATATTGTGGTTGGTTGAAGAGCTCTCAATTAGCTGTGCCTATTTAGTATGCATAACTCGGGAGAGAGTGCATATTTAGGTAATTGTTGAACAACACCACTCCCAGAGTATATGAGGGATCAATAACCGAGGGTTTAAAGGCGGGATTAGGGATAACGAAGCCTTGGGTGCGATCTGAAGTGAGCTGTATTAAAAGCCAGCTAGCGTAGCTCGGGAGAGCGCGTCTAGTAAATTATTGTAATTACTCGGGAGAGATTTATGGTAATAAGAGTACTTATGATCGGTAGAGAATACTTAGGCGAAATTATAGAAGACATAGCGGGAAGGATTCCGACAATAGGGGAAATCATAACTCTAGACCTCCTTAATCTTTTCTCTAACCCTCAGTATCGTTAGTTGTTAATTTATTATTTTAATTTATTAGTTAATTAGTTAAACACAAGAAACTTAATATCTATAAGTTAGGAATTGTTCAAGCTTGTCTTCTTGGTGATAGTGAACAGTTGTAGCTAAACCTTAGTTCTCTGTGGGATTCGACTCGACTCGACTTGTAAACCGGATTATATTTGCAACGACCGCATTGTCCTTTTTATAAGGCATAGTTGGGCGTGATCAGAAACGCCCAAGTATAAATAGCTTAGGGCACCTTCACTTTTTGTATAACACACATTGCTTGAAAATTACGGCCACTAGACCATCGTTCAATTGGATTAGAGTATTTTGTGTTTTCCTAAATGAAAACTACTTAGGATTCTACAAACTCGAACGGCAATTAATCACTTGTATAAATACCTTAGGCCACTTCAGCTTTTGTCATAACACACAGCTCCATCAATTCTTTGTTTGAACTCTTCAATGGCTTCCCTAATTAACGGTAGCCGCAGCTGCTTGTTGCTTTCGATATTATGCTTTTCCTGTCTTATTGTTGTTTCGTCTTTCTCTTTGGTCCTTTTAATTTACGAAAAATAGTTATAAAATAGAATCAAGTATGCAAAATGCTAGTGTGTTCTGTCTTATTTTTGTAATTGAACTTTATAGCTATAGTATACTTACAAGTCATAGAGCCTCTATCTTTAGAGTAAACATCTATTAGTAATATTTATTTATAGTGATAAAAGATCTTTCAAATTAACGAGATGTCAAGTTGTTAACCATGTGATTACAATATATAACCTTGGATTTTATTTTCAAAAGCTTTATTTACTAAAATACATATTTTTATACTAATTCAAAGTCCTAAATTAGGAAAAGCTGTACTAAAAACTCAGGAAATTGAAATAATAAAATTTGAAAACCTGGAAAAGAGATCTATTGAATTCCTAATATACCATACAAGAAATAATGAAATATTTTATTAATTGAAAGGTCAAATACTCAAATAATGAATATAAGAAAAACAATGAAGTTTTCAAATATTAATTGTAATTTATTGACACATATGGTAGCTTCGAGTGGTTAAAAAAGCATATGCCAGAGAACTAAATATTAGTAACCTTGAAAATTAAAATAAAAAACTTGAAAACTTAGAACGAAGATTTATTGCATTTCTATGATAATAATATGAAGTTTTATGTTAGTTAAAGACTTGAAAATGGTATTTACAATATTTCCAAATTGACGATAAAATGAGATACTGTTTTTTATTACTCAATAAGTTATCATTTTCCTAACGTGTTAAGAACTAGAAAAATCAATCAAAATAAGAACTTATAGACCTGGAAAGTGGATTTACGGGAAATTGTATAAGTACCCCCTGACCTATAGCCTGATTTTCAACTACACATTTTATCTTTGCGAGGGTCATATTACTCCCCTAAACTATTTTTAAGTAGAATTATTTGCGCCCTTAAAACCTACGTGGCAGCGTGTTTGAATTTTACTCTCCTTGCGAGAGTGAGAAGCAGGAAAAAATATTTTTCAGATTTTTTTTTTTTTGCTTTTTACATTTTTTAGTTAGCATATAATTTCTTACTTTATTTTCCTTTTCTTTTATCCCTTTTCTTTGTCGTTTTCTTTTACGTTTTCATCCGTTTCTTCTCTACCTTACGTCATTACCTTCCGAAAGACATTTACTCGCCGACGACTTTGTCTAACCATTCTTCTTCCATTTATTTTGCTTTTCTTCGTCCTCTTTCTATCCTTTTCGCACACAAATTAAACTCTCAAAAAGATTTATTCAAAAGCAAAGTAAAATAGTTCAAGAGAATTATAGGACATCTGCAAAGTATTAGTGTGCAGTTAAAAATCTAACTATAGGTCAAGTGAGTACTTATGCATTTTTCCTAGATTTACTGCACTTCTTTTATTGGTAAATAAAATTTTATTACCAGGGAAAGATGTTATTGTACAATTCAAAACAAAACCCCTACAGTATGATCAATAGACTCAGACTGTAGTAATTACTCAAAAAGAAGCTAAGCTACTTGTATCAATCTATTGATTAGTGTTGTCTTTCGTAGTACAATAGTCATGGATACCAATTCATCGTTCCCAATTTGCTTGCAATCTTCACCTTGTTTGCACCTCGCACATGTACATCTTGCACAA